GACACCGGGACCACATGAGGTGCGCATATGGAAATTTGAGTTGGTTCATTCGTTGTAACAATTTTGTTTATTGGGTTTTTAACAATTTTCTTATTTGCGACTCGCTATTCGGATAATATGATAATCTGAACATCTGAATTCGTAACCTTTGATAATCAGAGCCTCGATTACCTCATTTCTCTCCTCGTAATCGATTCGCGCCTTCGTAATTTCGATGCTTTGTCTTCGTCGAAATCGACTCGACCTCTGCAGCTTAACAGCTTCGAAAATCTGCTAATAAGTAGATTCATAACAGAGTGAATGTCTATCGACTCCCGAAAATATTGCGAGAAAACTGTTGAAATACAGGGCTAATCCTGATAATCAGGATTAACATATGTCCTTTATGATGTTTAGACCCACTATTGTAGTATATATGTAGCGATACTCCTCGAGTCCTTAGTAGAAATAAGTTGAACCAGTATATTCTTTTTACAAAAACAACTCCTCTTATCGATGACATAATCTTGAAGAGATATTGGCTCTCGGCGATGCAGGAAAATGTTACTACTCACGCAACAGTAAATACGATGGAAGAAATGAGCCAGGGCTTATTCAATCGATTTTCTGGCCGCCCAACTCGCCTGATCTCAATCCGATTGAGGCTGATTGGGATAGGATGAAGGACTACATCCAGCACCATTATCCGGATCTGAGTGACAGAAAGCAGCGTACTCAAGCTAGTCTTCGCAAGATTGTAAAAGAGGCATGGGATTCCGTGTCTCACGAAGATTTTGTGAGACTCATTGAGAGTGTGCCAGCAAGATGCCAGGCTGTGGCAGATGCTGATGGGGGAACAATTAAATATCAAGGCCTGAAAATATTCTTGCCATATGTTCAGATCCAAGGTCAAGGTAGGTTTGGTTTGTTGATTAACGTGCTAAGTAAAGTGACTACCGTTGCACTCCTTCTGGAGCTTGAGCACGGGTGGGGCCGAGCTGGATCAGGTTAACTACCATTAAATACATCTACATCGTCCCATCTGAGTGACCGGACCACCGCAGACTTCACCTACGTGTTGAATCATGTCAAGCCCAACCGTCTAGAGAACCCTCTTTTGACGTGCCGAAGCGCAAATTCCTTCTCAGCCTCAACCACCATGAGGTTTCTGGGCGCGCGTTGATTGGTTTTCTAAGTTTTCCTACATGAAGTGCGTTTATACTGTCTATACAGTGTGAATTCCGTCTTATCCTTGTCCACATTATCTCATCTTTTCGTCCAATACTATTTCTTCTTCTCCTACAAACCGGAATTGTTCAAACCAGCCTTTTGCCAGGATCCATTTTGTGATTCTCTCTATATCATCTGGGCTGTTTATCATTGCCGCAAATGACCTATCTTTTGCCTTTCGCAGCACCTCTCCTCTTCCCATTACCCACTGAGGACACGCCAAGGCCATATGTTTGACACTTTGAGACAGATATCCACACTGACATTTTGGATTAATCACTCCCGGAATTTTACTTCGATACAGATAAGAATTGAGACCAATGTGCTCACTTCTTATCTGAACTGCAATACTGCTTTGGGCCCTACTAAGGTTCCGGTGGATATTTGAGGGTGTGTTTCTACAGGTAATCCTTTTTCTGCCTGTTGTCTCATCTGTAACAATATTTGCGGCATTCCATTGTTCATAGTCTGCCGAGGCTCGATGACCAGATAGTATCTCGTTCTCCGGACGTGTCCATGAGTTTTTCCACTCCTGTAACGCGGCTACCTTACCGGCTTCTTTTTGTCTCCCTTTCGCATTCTCCATTCCACAAATTCTGGTCCATTCTTCAATGTCCTGCCTTCGATTCTTGCCATGCCTGTTCTCGGTTCCACTTGTGGTCTTCTTGACTTTGCTGCACGCAGATAGTATCGATCTACAGACAGGTAGTCCTTCTGATAGCCCGACGTGTTGGACTCTCCTTTGTTTAAAGTAGATATATATCGGGAGAACCAAAGACTCATGTTCTAGTACCCTACTGCTAGTAGAGTTATATGACCCTGTAACAAGCTTCAAGCATATTCGTTGGATACTTCGCAATAGTTTGACTATCCTTTCTAGTATTTTACCCGCTGTTCCATATAGAACACCTGTAAGTCAGGGCGAATTTCCATACTTATTAGAGGTTGGAACATTTTATTTTATTTATTTTTATGTCTACCGGGCACTAGTTACAACTAAAGCCCCATTCCTGAGGGGACATGACGAAAACTACGTACTAAGCTATATTACAATAAATTGGGAGCCTGAAGGCCTTGAAAATGAATATGTTAGAGTGTTGTGAGCGCTGTATAGCGGTACTCTCACATGGACATGAGTCAATTGGCACGGATCGGGCAAATTTCCTAATGGAATTTTGTCTTCTCCAAAAGAAAAGAAAAACGCTTAGCACCACGGGAGGAGCCAAGAAGCAAATCCAGCTTTGCCAGGCTTCTTCGGTAACCAGCAGAGGCTAGCATCGCTCGAACGAGGGGACAGAAAACTGGGTGGGTGATTGACTTGTCACTCCCGCAGGAGCAAGTCAAGTGGGCGTCTACGTGGCAGTAGCGATCGTAACAAGCGAGAAAGTCTCCGTGTCCAGTTCGGCATTGAATAAGGTACCCAAGATTGCGGCGAGGGTGTCGTAGCTCCTCGGGAGGTTTCTTGGCGAATAGAGGTCAAAATAATTGGGGCTATCTGAATTTGATTTCATTATCCTGATTTGGCGCCCTATAGGCCCATGCAGGTGTCTATAGTCTATAATATTTACCCGCGAGGAAACCTTTATGGTGAAAACCTCCCACACCTTTCTATTTGTTGTCTGTAGTTCTCACATATTTTCTTCAGGAAGCGCAGTTAAACTGTAATGCCATTCATGTAAACTAACCAGATCATCTCTATCCGCCCCAAGCATTATTTGACCTTTTACTTTCCCTCAGCAGTATTTCGACCGCTTTTGTCATCTGGAATTGCTCTATCCAACCATGGTTTAGGATCCACTGTGTTATCCTTTTTATATCTCCAGGATCGTTTATCATCGCTTCGTAGGATCGATCTTTGGCTTGTCTCCAGATCTCAGCTCTACCATTTGACCATCAGGGGCAGGACATAATCATATGCTTGGGGTTCTGTGATTGATAGCCGCATGAACAACCTGGACTTAATACTCCGGGTACGTTTCTTCTGTGTAAATACGAGTTAAGACCCATGTGCTCACTTCGTATTTGCATTGCCAAACTACTTTGGGCCCTTGTCAGGTTACGGTGTAGGAAGAATGGTGAGCCTTGAAAACTCGGATTTTGCCGTCCGGACTCTCTACTTTGGTAAAATGTGGCCGCTCTCCAAGTTTCGGAATCTGCAGTTGCTAACTGCCGAGGCTTCTGAGTATTTTTCTGCTTGGCCCAGGATTTCGCCCACTCTTGATATGCCATAACTTTCACTATCTCTGTATGTGTCTTCTTGGTTTGTTTTTCACCGCACATTCCCGTCTAGTTGGCAAGATCTATCCTCCTGTTAACTGTTCGTAGATCTTCTCTACCTTTTTTGGGCAGCTTGATTTTACTACAGGCAGACTGGATTATCTTCTGGACAGGTAAGTCCTTTGAGCGACCTAAATATTGAAGCCTTTGTTGCTTCAAGAATATTTCGATCGGAAGGGTGGCTGTTTCGTGTTCCAGCACTCTCGTGCTGGCGGACTTGTATGTCCCGGTGACAATTTTTAGACACTTCCTCTGTATGCTTCTGAGAGGCCTGCTATCCTCTCTGGTATTTTTCCACCCGGCCCTTTATTTATTTATATTAACGTCGTGCCTGCGCACAACACAGTGCTTTAAAGCCACATGCCGGTTAGCTCAGTCTAGAAAAACTACCCGACGTGCCGACGCTCCTAAGATCCCGGCATAAACTACCTGGGCCCTGGCCTTCTCCCTTCTGTTGAAATAGGTTGTATCAGACCAAGTCGTGAGCATCACGTGAAGGTAAAGATTAGTATACTACGCGAGCATCGCGAGACATTAGATTTTGTAATAATTAGAGACCATCCTTTAGTAATACAGTTTCTACACAAAAATCGATCTGCTACACTAAAGTTTAACACCTTCTAATATTCAAACCTAAGCATATTATTTTTTAAATAAATCTTGGATACTTTCTGAAGATCTATCTTGCCAGATTTGTGCGCAACGCATTGTTTCATTCTGCGGGTATGAATACTATTATTGGCGTGTTTTAATATCAGCTCAGTTAGAAATTGAGCTGAAGATAATGTACTCAAATTTATGGTACAGACATACTCTTGGCTTTAACATGGAAGGGTCCACAGATCTCTTTACAGTTTGAAACTTAACAAGGCAATAAAGTGTTAGATCAGACATCAGGGTGAATCTTAACTGGATAAAAATGTAAAATTGTAAGATCTACAATAAACTGAACCCTATATTTCAGTATTACTCTAGTGTAATTTGGATGGATAATACTTGAGAGTTGTTACCTGCCGAGAAGATTGGGTGTTAACTGTTCAACTACGCTATTATTTCATTCTACTCTCAGCAAAAGAGTAAAGCTTTTCCAGGTTCCAAGTACCATGAAGCGGAATTTCCGAAGTAAAGTATTAATTGGAGGTTAGATCAAGAATTAGCCTCAGAGAAAGATTGGTATGACATGATGGAGGGCAAAATTTTAGAAATGACTACCTGCATGTTATGCTGCACACGAAGAAGTCTAAATTGTGTTAGTTTTGACACGTCTTGTCCAACACCTCAATTATTAATCTGCTAAAATAACGCCCACACCCCTACCTGCATCCATATCCTGAAGACAGATTTACATGAGAGCCTGAGCCTGATTATTACTGAACTTTTTGCGTTTCATGCTTTCTGTTAGAGAGTGGCTGTAAAAGCGGAGTTGTGCATAATTCGTCTCGTCTACTGAATTCATAACTTATTGATTTTTGATAGTTCATTTTCGTTTATTCGTCTTCGGCAGTATCAATTACTCACCTCTGCCCTGAAAAGAACCAACTACTTCTTTTTCCTGTGCTGTTGTTTCCGGATACTTCATTCTGAAGGCTGGAGATAGTTGGAATGACAGCTGTTTCTACCCCACCACCCCCACGTAGTGGTTTGGCTATACGGCTGCCAGCCCCACCGAATGAGAATCCAGCATCCGTTTGGGATCCAAGACCACGAGTGCTGCCCTGCTTTGCTGCCTCGAGACGTTCCTTTACGGCTAAAAGCTGAGACTCGAAACTACAAATTGTCAGAAGATTGGAAGTAGCACGAGTAATAAGTACTGACCGATGGTTAGCTGCACTTAGCTTTTCCTGGCTGTCTTGTAATAAATTCTCTAAGGATTGAATACGATCATTTCTAGCAATTAGTTTACGTTCTGCTATAGCCACTTCCTTCTTCAATCCACTGTTCTGCTCAACTAGTTGTCGCTGTACATGAGTGAGCTGCTCAAGATTCCTCTCTAGAAATGCCATTTTTTTCTGTTGTGCACGGCTATTCGATGAGCGAAGAACATTATTATATTGTTCTCTTGTCTCATCCAAGGAAATTTCGAGTTCGACCACACGCTCACAGCGATTTTGGAGATCTCGCATTAGGCTTTTTTTCATTGAGTCAAACTCAGCAATCTGTTGTTGTACTGTTTTACCATTGGCAGTTGGAATACTACCGTCAGTCTTAGCTTTTATCTGTAGATCTTCATTGATAGCTTTGAAGCTTTGAAGTTCCATTGTTTTCTGAGTGATTTCGGCTCTTAATTCGGAAACAAGAGATGATTGTATATCGTGCCTAGAGGCGTAAGCTTCGGCTAGGCGTTCTTTTATTTCATTCACTTCTAATTCGCTAAGATTTTTCTCAAGAAGCTCCTCGCGCTCACGTTCTAGTTGAACGATCCGGGTTTGTAGCTCTTTTACAACCTTGCTCGTTGTTTCGGTATTTGAATTTCCGTATAGAGAGAGTTCTGCTTGACGGATTATGTCTTGCGTTTCAACCAGTGCTGTACAAAATTCTGAAAAGTCCTCCACAGCTATGACTTTACCAATGGACGACTGTTGGCGTAAGTCTTCAGCTTTCTCAATTACTCTCTGGAGTGACCTTTCATTATCACCAAAAGCTTCACCTCCTAGATCAAAGCTAGCCATCATAGTGGCCATCTTTTCCGCTTTTTTTTTCTCTTTTTCATCTAGAAAGGCAGTAGTCTCCTTGTTAGAAACTCTAGCATCGAGTATTTGTTGCTTGACATCATCAAGCTCTGCAGTTAACTCTGCATTGGCTTCTTTGAGACTATCCATAGTGATCTGGGCCTCTTTACTTTCGAATGATAATCTTTCGGCTTGCATACGAAAATCATTCACTTCTCCTGTGAGCCTTTCGTTCTCTCGGATAGACTTATTGTCACGTTCCTTCAAAAACGAAATTTCCTCTTTGAATTCGTTTAGTGCTTTACCGATCGAAGCAATCTGCGTCTCCTTTTCAGAAATCTGATCTTGTAGTTCGTTCTCACGTCGAAGAAATTCCTCGCGCTCGTCTTTATCGAACCCAACAGGTGTTGAGGACCGATCATGAAGAGCTGGCGTCTCTGATCGACTTTCTGTTTGGAGACGCGAGGGAGTGGCAGATCTTGGTGTTTGTGACTTTTGCTTAGCTGCATTTACAATTTCCAGGGGCGGCACCCATTTTTCCTTAGGTACACTATCACCAGATCGCCATTGTTGAACTTCGGCATCTAGAGTGTGGACATACTGCTCAAAAGTTGTAACCTGTGATTGGGCTTTCTTGAGCAAAGCCTTAAGCTCTGCTGGACTGATTTCGGCATTGATCTTTGCCTTGTTTTTGATCGCCTTTGCTCGCATGCCAAATCTTAAAGTTCCTAAGGTTTCTTCCGCGTTATAGCTACTTGGTGAACAGTTGATTATTAGTGTCGTCCGACTATTTCCACCCAAACTTTCTTGGAGGATTCTGGTCAACTTCGAGTCTCGATAAGGAATATGGGATGATTTCCCATCAGTCAAGTTGTTGATAACCATTCCGAGGGCACTAAGGCTCTTATTGATCTTTTTTGCTTCCTCTAGAGTCTGGCCACTGGCCCCAGTCTTTCCAACCTTTTCACTGCCGGCTAGATCTACTAGAAAGAGTTGTCCACTTTTAGCTGAGCCCGTCTCAACATTTTTCTGAGTGATCGTTATAACAAAGATAGAATGTGACCTTGAAGATTCAGCATTCATGTTAGTTGATGCCACAGCTCGAGCATTTCCGCCCCTACGCATTACTTCATACACCTCCTGTACGCTTGAGACATATATTTCAAGTAGACCTTTCACGTAAACACCTCTGCTTTTCTCTTCGTGGACAGGGAGGTTATCGTTGTGAGGAGCCAGAAGATCTCTGATGCGTTCCATGTAAATTTCCATATAGCTTACCCGCACAGTGTATTCGATTGAGCCAGGACTTGACAAAATACTAGCGAATATTTGCTCGACGATTCTAGGAATTACCCCGCGACCCTCATCATTATCGATATCGGTGCCCATCATAGTGTACGACTTCCCCGCGCCAGTCTGGCCATATGCGAACACGGTTCCATTGTAACCGTTCAGAATGTCGTCGACTGTCGATTTTATGGAGAAATCAAACACATCTTTTTGCCGCGAGTTCATATCAAACACACGATCAAATGTGAATGTTCCGGCGGCCTCTTTAGACTAGAGAAGTTGTCAACAGATTGTGATATGACGAGCTAGAAGTCATACATACATCTAGACGACATGTGTCTGCGGTCTCAAATTCAACTATAGGCTGCCCTCCAAGTTCAATCTCAGTGCGATTCTGCGGACGAAATCGCGCAACAACCTTGATACTGGTCATGATCGCGAGCTAAACTGTGCTGAAAAGAATTCATAGGAATTTGAGAGCACCAGTGTAAATCTTACAATGTAGTGGTTATCGGGCGGAATTGGCGGAAGTGATTAGGACCATCCCGGGCTCGGCTCGCATGACGGCTTTGTTCATTTTTTTTATTAGCAGTCATCCCAACGCCAAACAGAGTCACGTGTATCTAAAAATTGAGCTGAGCATAATTCCTAAAATGCCAGTGGAAGTGATGAGTCTTTTCACTGTTTAAAATATCTACAAAATTAAGCTAGGGGCGATACATACGTGGTCTAGATGACGGGTATAACACTCTATCACTTAATTTATCGCTTGATGCAGAAGTTTGGTCTCTCTTACTTTAGAATGATGGGATTAGGTGTGTCTCATAACTCGCCGACATGAGCGTTTCCACTTAAATATTATTCTTTGTAGCTAAGCCCTAACGACAAATAATAGGGACGTTAACGGCATTCACTTGTGTATTTTTGTCTTCTGAGCAAATGTTCAATGAATATGTAGTAAATACGCTGAGCATTAATTGACTTAATTCTACACATTGATACGCAAGATTTCACTTTTCTCCAGGAAAGAGAGCCAAGTCACCAACCTACCCAATCTAACTCCAAGCCTATTCAACAATAGTCGTAGGCTACACATTCATCAAAAAAGCCTCCCAAAATCTACAAGCGTTTTGTCAGTCTTCCCAACTTTTTTCGACCGATTCACGAACTCTCTTTGTATATTCCCGTCGATTGTCCTTGTAGAGGTTAGAAGCCTCAACATTAGCAGGAGAAGAGGTGTTTGGATCATTTAGGAGACTGCACGTAGTCAATAATGTTGTGCTTCAATACATAATTGCTTGCTTACCTTTGGATACTAGTCAATACAGCGGCAACATCATAGGTTGGGCTCCATCGATTCTGAAGGATATCGAGACATAGTTCTCCACTCGCATATACATTCGGGTGGAACATTTGGCTGATAAATTTCACCGCTGGAGGTTTGTTGGGATACTGCTCTTCAAACTGCATCACTAACCGAAAAGTGCCATCCTCAAAGGGTGTATCTGCCGGTCCTATGATAACGGCGTTCCTGAAATGGTTAGCTTCACAACCAATATAATTGTTGATGCCCACCATATCATTACATTGTCTGCGACTGGTGACGCCGATACTCCCGCAGGAGGATCTGTTTGCATACGCTTTGGGGTTATTAGCACCGATGAACTATTGCACTAGGTGCACTACCAGCCTTAAAGTCTCTCATCAATCGACGGCGAGCTGCAGTCGACATGATGGTGTTTAGGAACAAGTTTTTTGCAGTCTGTCTGATATTGGAATGGTAAGGACTTGAGCGAGGATGTAACGGAATATCCACCCCTTGCTCTGATGAAGTTTCTTCTGAATTAAGTTTCCGATTTAAATTTGTCGAGTCCCAATGCTTGCAAATTGGTTCAGTTGTTAATGAAATCGTAATAGAATCTATTACAAGACACCTCGATGTCCAGACCCTGTTTTACTGCTGTTCGGGATGTTAGGGACCATCCAACACGTGACAAATATCAATATATATTCCGCAAGCGCTTAGTCAGTACCGAAGGGATCGCTTAAGCATGTGATTCGCTGCTGGCGCTGAGGACGATAACTTTACATTGCATCGAGGAATGTTGCTATTTATCAAGAAACTCTTCCAAAGTTAACGGAAGTGGTCATGAATCTGCGACTTCCATGCAGAATTCGGTGTGGGTAGAACTTTCTATCTACCAAATTACTCATGATCATGGGCTTAACGCTGTTTTTTGTAGAGAGTATGAGACTAAAGACGTCTCTAACCGTTCCATTGTAGTTCATGACGCAATTAGTCCGCGCTCGTGCGCAACTTCGTCATTTGCAGTTGCAGCGATCCACTAGACTTAAATACAGTCATGATTTCGATATTTATCGGAGTGCGGTTTGCATGCAGTTAGATGTTGTGGTCTTAGATGGTCTCAAATGCCGAAAAACTTATTTCAACTCCAATCAGCAAAGTTGAAGCTTTTTAGTATTTCAAGATGCCTAGAAATTCGATAGGCTTCAATTGCAAGGGCAGAATAGAAAACTATCTGTCCATCAAACTTCAACTCCCTCACGCCCGAAGACATCTTCACACAGGCTTCACTCAAAATAGAGAAATTCAAAATGCCTACATTCTCAGTGCGGCAAGGACACCAACAGCTAGAGCAAGTGTCCCCATATGTATCTCATGACTATAAGCTGAACTTTAGATTTAATGATATTCAATAGTTTAATGGCTCCTTCACCGCTGTAACAGCCCCACAACTCGGTGCAGTAGTAATAAAGTCAGCGCTTGAGAAATCTGGGCTGTCAGGCTCCATGATATCTGATGTCTACATGGGAAATGTTTTTCAAGCCTCATTAGGGCAAGCACCGGCGCGACAAGCCAGCATATTTGCCGGCCTTCCCAAGTCAACTGAAGCGACTACCGTAAATAAAGTTTGCGCTTCAGGACTCAAGGCTATTGAAATCGCTGCGCAAAATATCCAGCTAGGCCTAGCAGAAGCCCAAATAGCCGGCGGAATGGAAAACATGACCCAAGTCCCTTTCTATACCCCAAGACCTAATAGGATTCCAGTACTTGGAAATATTACCATGGAAGATGGACTTATCAAAGATGGGCTGTGGGATGTATACAATCAGTTTCACATGGGTATGTGCGCTGAATCTACAGCTAAGAAGTATGGTATCACCAGAGAAATACAAGATGAATACGCTACACGGTCATACATGCGTGCTCAACAGGCGTGGAAGAACGGATCCTTTGATGAAGAAATAGCTCCTGTTTTAGTAAGGGGCAAAAAGTCCGACTCTATTATCAACATTGACGAAGGCTACATGGATCTGAAGCCGGAGAAGCTATCTCTCCTAAAGCCTTCATTCTTACATGATGGTACGGGAAGTGTAACTGCAGCCAACTCATCGACACTCAACGACGGTGCTTCAGCCCTTGTGCTCTCAAATTCTCAAGTTGCCAAGGAGTTTGGTAAGTCGTCACGGGTCCTCGCCCGAATCTGCAGCTTTGCGAACGCTGCCACGGACCCCATCGATTTTCCTGTGGCGCCGGCAAAAGCTGTTCCGATTGCGCTAAATCGTGCCGGGATAACAAGCAAGGATGTAGCCGTGTGGGAGTTTAATGAGGCCTTCGCAGTGGTAATCAAGGCGAATGAGCAGATATTACAATTAGAAGGTTCACGGGTAAATCCATTAGGGGGGGCTATTTCCCTAGGTCACGCACTTGGTAGCTCTGGATCGAGGATTATGACTACACTCCTACATCAGCTCAAAGTTGAGGAATATGGGGTGGCCGCTATCTGCAATGGAGGAGGGGCTGCCACTGTCATGGTAGTGCAAAGGATCGACGTGAGTGATATAATTTGATTCAAAAGGCCAGAAGAGCGGGATAAGATGGGTACAAATGAAATTATAGTTCTTGTTTCAGACGGGCTCGCTATTATAATAAGTAGTGCTGGTTGTGATATGGTGAGATATTTTTATCGCTGCAAATAACTTGAGACTTAGCAACTGTTATCTCACAAAAACACTCGATAATGGGGCACAGTTGAAGCAGCATCGGATATGACAGAGTGCCAAACTCTATTTCTGACGAGTCTTAATAGTATCTAAATTTCGAACATGTAACCACCCTGGTTATCCGCTTTAATTTTGTTGGGTTTCGAGGGCTTTGGGCTACAAAACCTCTTCGGTAGTGTAAAGAAGGCCCTACGTGAAGCGGCTTAGATTGGTTGTTTATGCAGTATGATTCCTGACACTGGCGGAGGTTTTTTTTGCATCACTGGCGGAGGTGGTAAATTAGGGTTTAAGTGATTTGAATTTCTCGACAGCATCTACGAGAGCTTCTTCGATGCCGACCTCATGGGCACTGTGACCACAATCGCTAATAATTTTATACTCAACGTTCGTGTTAGTGACACCACCCAAAGCCTGGTAGAAGTCCCAGCTGGTCTTCGCTGGACAGACCATATCGTACCGACCTTGTACAATAGTAATGGGAAGATGAATAATTTTTGAGGCTTCCTGTAGGAGCTGGCCCTCCTTCAACCAGCCGGCATTGACAAAAAAGTGACACTCGATGCGCGCGAAGGCCAGTGCCCTGCGACCGCGTCAGGGCTAGGGAGTTGTGATGGAGGAACTATTTAGAGTACGAAGCACTCACCATTTTGGATCTTGGGACTTCGTGGTGTACTCTGGATCGAAAAGCAACTTGCTAGTCGTTGTTTCCCAAGTGCTCCATTCATTTGCACTACTTGCGTGAGTAAATTGTGCAAAAGAAAAAGGTATTGACGTTTACCATTTCAGTTTTTCCACCTCATCATCTCCTGTGAGTCGTTTGTAGTAGGCTCTCATCATGTCGTGCCGCTCATCGACAGGAATGACAGCCTGGTAGGCCTCGTAATAATCCGGGAAGATCATGGAAGCTCCGGCCTGGTAGAACCAAGCTAATTCCTCCTGGCGTAGCATGAAGATACCTCGCAAGATGAGTCCGAGACACCGCTCAGTGTGCTTCTCAGCATACGCAACGGCTAGAGTGGATCCCCATGATCCGCCAAATATTATCCATCTCTCGATTTTGAGATGACATCGAAGAGCTTCAATATCAGCTACCAGCGACCAAGTGTTATTGTCCTCGAGACAAGCATGGGGCAGAGACTTGCCAGAGCCACGTTGGTCGAAAAGGATACTACGATAGTGAGTGGGATCAAAGTATCGCCTGTCGTTTTCATCAATGCCGCCTCCTGGTCCACCGTGCAAGTAAATTATAGGAACGCCAATGGATAGACCACATTCTTCCCAGTAAATGGAGTGAAGTGCGGAGACCTGAAGATGTCCGCATCGGTTTGCTTGGAAAGGAGGATGTAATGGTGCCATGACTAGATTTATAAGATCGTGACAGAGTAATAAATATGACTGAGGTCCCACAGTGATCGAATTCGAGACCTCGTAGAGCCAATAACGTATTTTGTTAGCGGTAATGGTTGAATCTAGATATTAAAGAAGGGCTAGACGAGCTGCCAATTATACAGCAGCTTTATGCAAAAGCCTAGCGCTTCGTTGGGCTACTATGGGAGACTTCAATTGAAGGTGGGGCATCTTTAGGGCTTCGAAAATTGAGATCAGAGCTCCCTTTTGAGTTGCAGGTCCGCATAGTCGTTTCAATTGGGATGGAAGTATTTATTCTACGAGACAGTACTGTTGACTGATGTAGGCCGCTTGCGAGAGTGCAGGTGACACTATAAACACAAGCAAACAATGGAAAGGGCCGTGGTCCGCCCACTGGTGGTGTTCTCCGGTATAGTTTGAGTAGCCTGGGCACCTACTTCACTTGGGAAGGAGACGCCTCAGCCCATATTTCGTGCGGAGAAATGTGAACAGATGATGGAGGTATGTCTGGATAACTCAGGGTTTTTGAGACGTTTCCCTGGGTGGGTATTCACGGATGAGGGTTGACTTGGAGTGAAGAAAAAGCCACCATAACTTCGCAGTGGTACCTGCAAATGAAATCCGAGGCATGAGTGCTTTTCCTTTATATTGAGTCATCTATTCTATACTTTTCTTTGATATCTTGTCATAGCTAAATAGCTGCATAAGCTGCTAAAACCTGATGCAAAATAATAATGATTTATGTAGGCGAGAATGGACAGTTGGTGCATGTTAGACTATTATTTTTCAATACTAAACAGCCTGCATAAGGTTATGCATGGGTACAGTTCTCAACTGGGGTGTCATATGACGATGATGATCATGATATTTTTATCGTGACCGGGTACTACCCCAGCACCCAGAGTGTTACGGCGTGTGGTGACTAAAATAGGATTTGCCGTCTGCTGAAGATATCCTAGTAATGACTACGCGAATAAGTACGAGTCGATATAGACAGGAACGGTTAGGGGTGTTAAACTGATCGGGCGAGGCACAAAAGATTAGGACTGAAGAACGAGAGATCGAGAGGTCGAGACGAGTAGTATGATTATAGAGACTATGAGGATATAAGATTGAGAAGGTGAAGAACTACTTTAGAGCAACTCCAGCTTCCTTAAGTATAACTACTACGTGCTAGATGTAAGTGAGGCTTTGAAAGATTATGTCATGGTAAGCCCCTCCAACTCTAACTATCAGATTTTTCTCGGATATCTTCTCATTGAACCTTTTCCTGAGAACCTTCTCCTTGAATCTTCTCCTTAAACCTTTTACTTGAATCTTCTCCTTAAACCTTTTACTTGAACTTTCTCCTTGAACCTTCTTCAAGGATGCCTGGCCATAACACAGAGGGCATGGCACGGGTAGTCCATATCTATACGACTCTTCGCTACCTACATCATTGTTTCGTAGAAACTTGAACACACAAAACTAATACAAATAAAAAAACCAATTCTAATGTGCTAGCGCCCTGCGCTACACCTTAATTCTCGTACCACACCGAACGGTCCCAAGAAGCATTACAGTTGACCTTTATATCCCCTGTTCACGATTCAATTTTGCTGTAACACTTTGTTACAGTTAAGAAACGCCATAATTTCTGCCATCCTTCCTGCCCTATCATATCCCTGATCGTAGGACGTGGTTCCTTCGTTTCCGTCCTCCATTTCTGGATAGTCGGGTGACATTCTGCAAAATGCCATAGCCGCTTTTCTCTGCCATAATTGCAGAGCATTTCTACATTCTGGTGGTGGAACCGTCTATGATAGCTGGCGAAGTCACCATGCCCAGTCCTTGCTGCGATGAGGCGATGATATGCCCATCGAGGTAGAGCTAGCTCCGGAGGGCGCATTCTCCGCATCAGTAGGTCTAGATCTTCATACCTACTCGATCTGTTTTTAAGCCACCATTCTTCCGCAAGTTTTTGTACCCGGATATTGACCTGGCGCTTGAAAGTTGCAAAAGTCAGAACTTCGTGAGTTTCCTCCCACATGCACTCTGGCCCTGGTATGTTTCCATCCCGATTATTTGACGCAAGGATTGCCTTTGCCATCGCATCGGTCCTTTATTTTCCTGGAATGCCGCTATGTCCCGGAACCCAGTAGACCTCTATCGATGGTCGAGTCTTGCATAGTTCCCAGATATTCATGACCTCTACTTGCGAGGAATTTGTTTTGCCATTTTGAAGGGCTCTGACCGCCTCTTGATTTTCAAGGAGTACCTTGATATTTGTGCTGCCACCAATTCCTAATGCTACCTCTAGGCCTCGTACTGCCCCGGTGATTTCCGCATCAAAGACCTCAGCTCCAGGAAGGAACTTTCCACCGCTCGCTATAAGTTCACCGCCCCTATATATGGCGTAACCATAGGCTGAGTATGCTGGGACGGTCTATGACCTATCCGAGTAAACACTGAGTGTTCCTGGGGGGAGATACCTGAGCCAAAACATGATCTGATCCGCCTTTTCCTCCTTGTAGCATTTTGCCCTGGTAGTAGCCATCGCGATCTTTGGTTAGTAAAGCTGCCCAGGCCCTTCTGATGCTGGCAGGCTGAGGTTCCCATTCTGAAGGCGTGTTAAATATCGCTGTGGAACCTTAAGGACACGTGTGTGTGTGTGTTTTTATTGTACTACTTGAGTCTATGACTATCTAGCACATTAGGCTCCTCTCTGACCCAGGCCACACCTTGTACAGTGCTCCTATCCTCTTTTGTTACTTGAAAGATCATTGATATATTCCCCTTGATGAATAGCCATTCAGCTCAGTATTTACCCGTGGAATTCGGCCACCTTTTCCACGGAACCTTCTACCCAAAAAAAATAAAAATGGTAGCAATGGAAACTGCGTGCGCGGGAAAAAGTCTCAAAAAACCTGCAGCCCCAGCCAGGCGAGGCCTAGACACCGGGACCACATGAGGTGCGCATATTCATCTACATCTCCCTTCTTTGTAACAGTCGAGGCCAACTTGATCCAATCCACCATCTCCGTATCGGGTGCTGGGTACGCTCCGGAAACTCATCGGATGGCTTTTCCTCCATGATCAAGGGTGGGTGACGAGTAGGGCTCCGACCCTACCATCTGATCTGATCGTGGTTAGCTTCATGATAGTGGTGATAGGGGAATGTGTTGAGAGATGAAGACGATACAGACCGCGAAAGCGATTGGGAATCCTCTTCGGAGTGAGGACTTTGTTACTCAATCTCGGCTCTGCAGACTCTACAGTGAGAGCTGGAGGTTCGTAGGGGACACCACTGACAGGTGTTGAGAATAGTCCCCCTTAAGGACACGTTCTTTCTGCCCCTCTCGTAGTTGGAGTTGCTTAATTGCCTCCTTGGGTGTCTCAGCTGCCCTTGAAGATAGTGAATGATAACTGTCGAGTCAGCGAATTCTTGCCGTACTTCGGAGCTGTCACTGCTGAAGCATTATTTCTGCAGGTAAGATCCCTGATTCCCGGTGCAGGACTATGTTTGGTGTAGTTCGCCACACTGGGAGTGTAGCTCGAATTGCAGTCAAAATAGTCCTATCTAGTAGCTTGAGGTGCCATCCGACACCCGTACTTACTTTCTTGTCTCGTTTGGTCGTGATTCGGGTCATTCCAGGCCACCAGGCTTCAGCGCCATAGATTGCCGTGCTCACTACACATGCATTCACCGCACGTATTATTGGTCCCAGAGCCGCACCTCGTTGGACTCTATTTACGCTACGTATGAAGTAGGATAGTCGCTGTGCCTTGCTACACCATTCCTGAACATGCTGTCTGAATGTTAGTTGGGAATCGAGCCAAACTCCGAGCCATCAAATATCCGGAGAAGGCGTAATGAGCTGTTCCCCAACCCTAACCGTTAGGTTGGATGAGTCGAGTTTCTTCTTTGGTCCACCCCCAATGATCGGGAGTTCAGACTTCGAAGGGTCGAATCTAATCATGTGTATCGCAGCCAGTTGGACTATCCTGTCTACTTCAACCTGGACAGCCTCAACAGCTTCAGAAGGACTTTTGCCAAATCGGACAATCGCGATGTCGTCTGCGTATCCAAATCTACAGTTTGGAGTGCCATCCTCGAGTAGGATCGAGATATATAACATGAATAGAAGTGGCGAAAGTGGTAATCCTTGCGGGACACCGCACTCAACAAGCTTCTCATCTGTTACGCCTTTTTCATGTCTTACCAAGACTGTAAGTCTTTTCAGAAACGATTCTACCCAGCGACAGAGTGATAGCGGCCAGCATTGACTTCGCATTCGTGCGAGCAGCCGATTGTGTAGCACTGCATCAAAGGCACCTTGTATGTCCATCGTCACCATAGCTGTGACTTTTTTTCGATCTCATGGCAGCTTCTGCATCGTGTGTAACACAGGATACCAAGTCCACTGCTGAGCGTCCTGGTAGTGCGCCGAAGAGTTGTGGGGGTACCGCTTTGTGCTTTATTGCAAGCCAGGACATACCTTTAGCTATAAGCCTTTCCAATCCCTTGCCCAAGCTGGAGAGTAGCGATATGAGTCGCCATCCTTTTGGGCTGGAGAGTTCGCGTCCAATTTTAGGAAGTAGTACAGCTTCCGCCACCTTGAAAGGTGTCGGAAAATATACCTAGTTTAGACATGCCTGAAAGAGGTTCCTGACATATGATCCAATCGAGCTCTAGCAAGCCTTGAGTAGTCGGACGGTGATTTTGTCATACCCTGGAGCCGTTTCTTTACTTCCTATGGTTGACGCTGTAACTTCTTCCAACGAGACCTCTCTGTTCCATGGGATAGACTCTGGTAGACCATTCTTCCATGTTTCTTCATCGCTTCTAGCGTCGAATCTTCCCAGAAGGGAATCACACAGTACAATTGTCCGCTCGAGTGGATCTGTAAGCCACTGGTTTGGTGATACCTGGAGAGGAGGAGGCTGTCTCGTCGGCTTTGGTTTGGCCCATCGCATGAGTTTGAACACTTGTGCCTCTGTCTCTGCTG